ATAGAGATAAAAGGCAGCAAAAGACAGAGGGAGAAGAAAGACTGAAAGATTGAGAAAGAGAGACACAGAGAAAAAATAGCAGAAGAGTAAAAGAGATGGGGGGCAAAAAAATTGAGAGAGAACAAGGGTGATAGATTGATGGAAGGAAGAGAGAGGAGAGAGAGGAGAGGACAGAGAGAGAAAGAGGGAGGGAGAGGGAGCAAAAGACTGAGAGAAGGAGGAGAGAGAGATAAAGACAGCAAAAGACTGAGAGAAGAGAGACAGAGAAAAAGATTGAGAATGAAAAAGAAAGACAAGAGAAAAAAATCAGGAAAAGATTGAGAGAGAGAGAGAGATAAAAGGCACCAAAAGACAGAGAGAGAAGAGAGAGTAGAGGAGAGAGAGAAAGAGGGAGAGAGAGCAAAAGATTGAGAGAAGGAGAATAGAGAGATAAAGACAGCAAAAGATTGAGAGAAGAGAGACTGAGAGAAAAAGATTGAGAAAGAGAAAGAAAGACAGAGAAAAAAATCAGCAAAAGATTGAGAGGGGGGGGAGATTGAGAGAGAAAGAGGGTGATCGATTGATAGAGAGAAGAGAGAGGAGAGAGAGAGAGAGTGAAAGAGGGCAAAGATTGAGAGAGAAAGAGGGTGATAGGAAGGAGAGAGGAGAGAGAGAGAAAGAGGGCAAAAGATTGAGAGAGAAAGAGGGTGATAGAGAGGAGAGAGGAGAGAGAGAGAGAAAGAGGGTAATAGATAGAGAGGAGAGAGAGAGAAAGAGGGCAAAAGTTTGAGAGAGAGAAGAGGGTGATAGATTGATAGAGAGAAGAGAGAGGAGAGAGAGAGAGCGCAGATATTTTATTTCCATGAGGACTTGGTTTCCTGAGCCTTTTTCATGCCTTCCACCTTCCCCACATATAGCTTAAGGAACATCTTCACTCCACGCTTGAAGACAGAACAGAGCAGGACACACAGAGAACTCCACTATTTTATTGGAGAACAGGTTGGAATGTATTAATGAAAAACACCATGAAATGGTTGGAGGTTTTGGGAGCGTGCAACTAGAAGACTCTCCGAATCCATGCCTTCCAATTTACCCAGAGGGGTCCATCCTCCGATCACATTGATGCCAAAACAGGCCACCTCACCTCCAAGCTACTGGAGGAGACCGAACCATAATACAGTTTTAAAGTTCTGCTTAAATCATGCCAGCCTGAAGAGAGGCATG